GCCCTCGAAGGAAAAGCAGGAGCAAGCCTCCTGGAAGGGTAAGACCCTGGAGGCAGAGTTCAAGGACTCCTTCCTTCGAATGAAAAAAAGAAACAAACTTCCACAAAGGGTGAGACCCCACGGGTGCGTATGGTCCTTAGCAATGACGAAGCTGAACCAATCGAGCGGGCCAGCCAAATTGCTCCTCAAGTGTCGGAGCTATCAAGGTCTTTCAAACAAAAAAAAAAAGAGAAAATGCACATAATGAAATGCAAGTACTTATAAAAAGCTTCATTTCAAAAGAGGGGCTTTGCGTCCCGAGAGCTACAAGAGAAAAGAAGTACAATTCAAAGAAAGAAAAAAATTCCATCTGGCCCTGGGCATCTCCAACACATCGCTACAGGGCGAATCAACGCAAAAAGGGTTGAGCAGCTTCGAGAACAAGTAGAGCTGGGACTGAATCAGTAATAGGAAGAGTTTGAGGAATATTGTGGTCAGGGGCAAAGTCCGGCAGGACCTCGTCGGATGGAACCAGAATCACCGCCTCGGGCTGGTCTGCCAAAACTTGCATCGGCGTTGGAGTCGCACCCTCGGCAGTAATCTCGGCCTCGGCCTGCGCCATGTCTGCCGATGGTACGTAACTGTGCATCTGGAAGAATGGAGAGTCTGGAAGGACACCGGCAGCCCAGAGCGCCTCGTCCCACCCCTTCTTGAAGAACTCCTTGTTGTTCTCCTCGAGGGAAGGCAGCACGTCATCGGCAAACTCCTCTCGAATTTGCTCCTTGGACTTCCTGTTCTTCGCCTCGGCCCTGATCCTGTCCAGCTCCTGTGTCAGAGCCAGACAATTTTTCTCTAACCCTACTGCCCTCTCCTCTGCCGTAGAGAGCCGCTGCGTCTGCTGCGTGATCCTCCCCTCAGCGTCGGCCAAGGCAACACTTAGCTTTTCAGCGCTGACCTTTGCCGATTCACCATCCTTGAGGAGTTGCTCAATCTGAGCAGCCTGTCCTGTGAGGGTGGAGTCCCTGGCAGCTACATCTTCCTTAGCACTGGCCAGGGCTCCCTCGGCCTCTTCCTTCTGTTCTTGGGTCCGCTGAAGGTCCATCCTAGCTGCATGATATCGCGCAGCGATTATGGAAATCTGTTGGGTGGCCTGCGAGGGAAAGGACTTGTCAATTAAAAGTGACGCGACAAGAAAAGACTGAAGCAAAGATGAACTTACCACCAGAAAATTCTGAATGATGGAGCGGAACAATGTGTTCGTTGTTTACCCTCTATGAGCCTCCATGTCGGCCTCGAAATGGAGCATCTCGCTCACTGCGTTGGCGACATGGGGGTCCTGCAAAATGGAATCATCGACCCTGATCACCCGGTTCATATGGCCAGTGGCCCGAGGATTCCACTCTGCGGCTTCTACCGTCTGCGGAGAGGGAGTTGGAGTCTGCCTCTGCTGCGGCTATTGCTATTGGGATGGAGGGGGTAACACATGACCTCTCCCGCTTGGCTATTGAGCGGAAGGGGCCCTGGATCCCTTGCCCGGGCCGTCGTGCCTTTGTTTGATCCTCCTCTCCTCCTCAACTTGAGGATCTCGGTCCTGCACTTGACCCCGACCAGTGGGCCTCGGAGGCAGGGGTTGGCGCTGGTACCTGTTGATGGGGCGCTACTTGCTGACCCCCGTCCCCTCCCGGTGGCAAGGGCCTGCCTCTGCCTCAAGAATCCCAGGTCGATGCGAGGCATGTGCGACATGGCTATCTCGAGGGCGTCCTCTGCGTCTAGAGACTGAAGGATGTAGAAATCGGGCCACAAATCTCTCCCTGAAGTCCCCACCTTGGCGTGCAAAGGAACCAAAGCCTCTCTAGCCCCGATCTCCTCAACTTCACGGATACCCTCTACTTCCTCCTCGGTAGCCCTGTCGGGGTCTTCCTCCAAGTTCTCCTCGGCCTCTTGTTGCGTTACCTGTTCGAAGAGTTCAGATCACCGCGATGGCTCAAAAGGCTGGGGGAGCTGTGAGAACTTGTTATACCCAGGAGTGTAGTTGAGGAGGATGTGACCAGCCCGATCGAACCCATCGTCGCCAACAAATCTCCAAACAGTGACAAGGTCAGCAAAGTTAACCAAGGACCGAGGGAGAGGGCAACTTCCTGGGCGGGGATGTCTGCATAAGAGAGAATGTTATTAACACTTCTAAAAAAAATTTCAAGGACAAAAATAGTAGACTCGGGGAGGCCGACGTACTTGTCGTTCTCCATTCAAAGGGCACATTAGGCCACTATACTTAGGACCGGTCCCCCGCTACCAAGATCCACTGAAGATCAGAAGGTCATCCTTGTATCCTTTGTCTGAGTCAGGGAGGTGAGTTATAAGGTACATGGAGGGATCCCTGGCTTTGAGGTAAAAATTCTACTGAGGCATGACCCTCAACAGGGAGTAGCAAAAAAAGATATCGTTGAGCCTAACGTTTACCCCGAGACGGTTGTTAAGCTCTAAGACCCCAATTATTATCCTAAATACGTTAAGGCAACACTGCCCCGGGAAGAGTTTGAAATGGGCGAGGAACTGGAGGAGTAGAGGAGGCAGGGGGAACCTAACTCCACCCTCTATGATTGCCTTGGTGAAAAATGGCATCTCATCCTCGGCCCCGACAATGCGGTTGTGCAAAACTGGGTCATACTCATCTATACCTACATTTGGGGGAATGCGGTACCAAGCCCTAAACCTATTAATCTGCTCGTCTCCTTTCACTTTGTACTTCCCGAGCCTCGAGGAACTGGCCTAGGAATCCTTGGTGACGGGCCGACATCGGGGCATCTCTAAAGAAGATAAAAACTAAAGAGGAAGGACAGTTTTTTTTACGAAGATCCCCTAGGGGTTTCCTGAAGGTTGGTCACAGAACGACAAACCAGAAATACCTCCGGTTATCGGAGAATCAAAAAACAAAAAAAAAAGAAAGAGAAAAAAGAGAAGAAGAGACAGAAGGGTGGAGAGAAGGAAAATACAAGGACTCACCAGAACTTGAACGAAGGTTTTCTTCAAAACTTGGAATGGTTCCTTCCTCCAGGAGGTTCAGAAGCAAGGATGGGTTTGCTGGCCTTAAGACTCCGGTGAAGATTAGTTTGTAGACAACGTAAGGAAGTGGGTCTCCGACGAGATTTTAGGCGAGGGCTCTCTAAAGAGTTCGAAATGGCGAAGTGTGAGAAGGAAAGAGAGAACCCATTTATATAGTACCTATCCCCATCATTGGGCACGAAGCACGAAGAGGTGCATTTAATGCGCACGACCTCCTAAGCAGAGGAAAGCGACTAGAGGCAATGATAAAGTGGTTGGGGTAGTTGCAGAACCCTTCGTCTCCTTACGACGCGTGTCCTCTGCATCAGAAGATGGAAAGCTAGGGGGCAATTGATGGGACATTTTTCGGACACTCCAAGATGGCGACACGTGTACTCGGTGTCAAGAAATACTCTCTGCCATGATCACGACACGTGCTCGTCGGATCATGATCCCTCTTTCCACGAGATGGTACTATGTATAAGGATATACGACGCCGGTATGCACGAGCGACACATATTCCTCGGTCGATTGGGGTGGGTACATCGGCCCTGACCGTACTAGGCTCTCGGCACCAATGTGTACCACTACATCAATGTTCCTGTGTCCTGCAGGGCTATTGATAGACAAGTCATCAGTCTGGGCTAGACTAGATTAGCCATCATGACCTGGTCTTACCTAGATGGTGTCATGACGCACAGAAAAGTAGAAGGCTCAACCAAAAGGGAGCTGGCACGTGGCGTACTGTGTCAGATCAAAGGCAAAAAGACTAGAATGCCCTTGCTGACACACGACTTGGGAAAGCAAGTATTTAATGCACTTTTCCCTTGATGAGACATCATTTAATGCGTGAAGACCTGGAAGTGAAAGACAAGGAATGATCCTGTGACAGAGCATTTAATATATCCCAGCCGAGTGAAGGTCATTAAATGCTCAACAGACCGAGGGTGATGCATTGGTTGCTCGGGGTCCCGAGCAGTTAAGAAAGAGGTCATTTCTCCTAAAAACCAGTGTATACGTTACCCGTCTCTAATGATCACCTACTGACCATACTGACAACAATTATGAGTTTTTAAGGTATAAATACTGTTTACAAAACGAATGATGAGGTACGAAAAAAACCTTTTCTCAAACCTATACACAGTGTTTTCTTCTTCCCCTCTCTCAAAAAACTGACTTGATCGTCGGGGAGAATACGCCGAAAAACACTCTGGCGCCCTCCTAACTCATTTTTCTCTGTTCCAGGAATCTTCCCTAGCCTTACAAGACCACCTCGGTGACCCACAAAAGTCACTCATTACCGTTCCAGGCTACCACCGGTCCTCACGGTCTGTTCCGCCCAGCAAGGTTGACCATTCGATTGACTGACTTGTGTTCACCACGGGAGAGATCTGTTCTCGTGTTTATATTGTGCAAGATCCTGCACGCACAGGTTTTTTTTTTGTTGTTGGGCAAAATCAAGCAAAATAGATGAATTGGTTTAGAACAATGGACTTGTACCTTATCTTAACGTTGAACTAAACATAATATATATGAGATGGGATAAAATAGTTGACAGGGTCATTATCATCGGTATGGATTGAATTAAAATTATTTGTCTAATCCCAATGCATGTTTTACCCTTACAAAACACATTCTATATCTGTCTTTAGCAATAAGGATGTGGTTATCAAACTATATTTTATTTATCAAGTCATTCTGGATTGTTGGGTTAGTGAGTGTGTTTAGAAATATTTATTGACTTGGTAAAAAAAATTTGGTAAATATCTTGGTAAATCCTATACATTACTAGATGGGAGAAATCACAACTTACATTTGCCCATGCAAGAAAAAGACCAATAGAATTGATGCCAATCTCAGGACACTCTTGAGTTCTCAGCCAATCCTTTACCTATTCCACAAATATGTAATGTATTTAGAACACTCCCAATCTTGCACTATGAAGGAAACTTTTCAATTGTTTCTTCTGGGGTCAACTGATGCCTCAGCCTGGTAAACAAAGTGAGACTATTGAGGAGTTGGAATTAGAAAAGATTGTTGACCTAATCCATTTTTTATAGTTTTTTTTTGCTATTCCCATTTTTTATGGTTGAATTGACAGCAAAACAATCCAAACAAATTGGTAACTTGAGTCAGATGATCAAGTACAAGTTATTTTACTCTATCATTTTCTAGAAAAAAACTTTATATTGTTAAAAGTTCAATAAAACTTCTTGTTCCTAAGAACATTTTTGCTTTTGAAAAAATGTTAGTAGCAAGGGAAATGAGGTTTCCCCCAAAACTAGGCCCCCTCAAGACTTTATTCCCATATGCAATCAATTTTAAACTTATTTTTCAAATTCAGTTTCTTTTTAAAAACATCATTTGGAATGACGCGTTCATGTGTAAAAACGTAATTGTGAATGACGTTTTTAAATTGGAAATTTTTTATGTAAAACGTCATTTGCAATGATGTCTTTAAAGACGTCATTCCAAATGACTTTAAAAGTAGTGTAGTCAAAATGCATTGCTTAAGAGACGTTAAAAAATTGTTCACTTAAAAACGTCATTGCAAATGACACTTTATGCAAATTAAATCCCAATGCCCCTTTCCCAAATTAGAAACGTCCTAATTAACCAAATACTAGTTAGCTCTCAGTTACCCAAATCTGAAATCCTCTTTCCCAATCAACCCAAGTCTGAAATCCCCTTTCCCAATCAACCCAAATCTCTCAGTTACCCTCTTCACTCCTACTGACGAATTCCACTCATGTGTAGGTAGGTAACTCCGGTGAAGAGCACTCCTCCGGCGAAGATCACTTACTCGACGAAGACCATTCCAACGAAGGATTTTGCAAAAGCGAAGATCCCAAATTCCAGTTAGCTCTCAGTTACCTAAATCCGAAATCCCCTTTCCCAATCAACCCAAATCTCTCAGTTACCCTCTCCACTCCTCCGACGAAGTCCACTCAGGCGCAGGCAACTAACTCCGTCGAAGACCACTCCTTCGATGAAGATCACTTACTCAACGAAGACCATTCCAACGAAGGATTTTAAAAAAATGAAGACAACTCCTCTATTGCCGTTTGAAGCCCACTAAGGTAAATAACACGCTAATTTGCATGTTGTGTACTTCATTTGATATTTTTTACATTTTAAGGTTTTCTGCATTTACATGGATACCCGTTCAAGACTGATTTGCTTTCAAATTGTTAAGCTTGAGTAAGATGTCTGTTTATTGAGAATATATGTGAAGGTTCTGCTACACGAACAAAGTGGGACAGTCGTGTTGTTTCTGCACCCATTTGCCCAGCCCTCTTGTGATCTTTTTATTATGAGAATGAGATTTTGGAGTAGAGAGGTAGGCGTAGGTGTACAAGGGAGATTAGATGAGAGGATTGAGATTTGCTATATTATTTTCATTCGAAAAATTTTTAAGGGAGGACTTTTGGATCTTCTCAGTTTACCCTTATACACTATTTTACAGTAGTGTTTAGTAGTTGTTGGTACACTAATGTTTAGTACTGTAATTTTCAAAATTTTGTGGAAAATTAGTAGTTGTTGGTTTCAATTTTCGTCTATACATCCAACCTCTTGTTATCCTAGTACATCAGTCATAAAGCCATTGATCTAATAATAGTCTCCATCCTTTTGAGGAGATACAAGATGAAGATTGGAAGATGAAAGCATTTATAACCAGACATACTACATATTGTTGTTGTAGATTGTGATGTTCTTATGAATAACCTACTTGTCCGAACAATCATACTGGGGAAACTTCGAATTGTGAACCAGACATAAGGCAAAACACTCTGTACATTCCAAGTATTTTGATTTTTTTCACCCTTTTCCTCTAGCTAAATCATAGGAAAAGTTTGTTCACTAGGAGTAATCTCCTTCAAAAAAAAAAAGTTATGGGGAAGAAGTCTTTAACTTGCACATTAAGCTCAAGTATTTATGATATTCTCCTGTTAAGTGTTCCACTAGTGGTAAAAATAATAAAGGATCTGTGTTGGCTTCTCAGTGCCTTATTAAAAGTCAGTCCTGTTGGATATACCTAATCACCTAATTGTGCATACAGTTATTTACAGACTAAAATTATCTGGTCCAATTTTAGCCCATAGTCCTACTGTGAACCACTATTAGCTGTGTTTTTAATTTCTTTATTTTCTGTTGGTTCTAGCATATCACTATAAGGTGGTTGTTTATTTTCTGTATAACTTGTCTATCTTTTGGGAAACTTCTAGCTATTTCTTTACAACAACACTAACTATCCTGAACAAATACATTCCCAACACTCATTATGCTCAAACTTAAAAATGCCATATGTTGTTTCATTGACTTTGTTCACATATGTGCCATAGACACTCAATTACATCCCAAGTACCATCTTTTATCTCCAATGAGGATCTTTTCGTTGTAAGTACCCTATGTTGTGCATCCTTAGGAGCAAAATTTTGTGACTATTGACTATCATTTGACCAGTCAAAAAATGAGTGGTCAATAACTCATGAAAAGTTGATGTAATAGAAGAGACACAATCTTTGCAAAATCAAACGAAAGGTTAGACTTTTATTTTTACCAATTGCAATACCACTTTGTTTAGATATGTAGAAATGATCAAAGTATTCCCCTAACTCTTGTAATGATGTAGCCAAAGTTTTATCTAGAGCCAATTGTGAGTCAACACTTCCACTCCCGCAAAGATTCACTGTCTTGTCCTGAAACATGAATTCGGTCACTGCTTTGACCATAATCAGAACTTATTCCCATGTTCTTGGCATTTGCTTGAAAATTATTGGTAAGATTCCAAATTTCTATTGTGGTCTATGGAGTTGACTAAGTATGAGTCAAATTGCACTTCCTTTATCATGGCTATTAGGAGATAATGTACTGAGCTTATATACTTTTTTTCACTTGCAACTCAATCATGTTGGGAATACATTACATTTCTTGTAAATGACATCCAATGTATTTTTGTGATGTCATTATTATAGAATTGTTGCGAATGGCTAGAAGACGTGCTTCTGTGATGGTTTATAGGGGTGGTACCATATTCAAGAACCATGATGTTTTACGATACGATAATGGTTATAAGCGTGTGATAAAGGTTGCTCATGACACAACTTACTCGACTTTGGTGGATAGGTTGTATGATGTGACGGGAATAGATAGGAATAAATACAACCTCAAACTTATATATAGGTTTTCTACTGCATTGGGAACTAACATCTTTACATATATTCTAGTAGAAGTTGTTGACAATGATGGTGTAGAGGCAATGGTGGATGTTGTATTTGACAATCAAGGTGCTAACAAAGTGGATTTGTATGTGAGCGAAGAGGTTAGGGCAGATGACATTATTGGAAGTAATGAAGGTTGGCCTGATGGTGGTTCATACTCTTCCCTGCTTAGCCAATAACCATATATCTCAGTCCTTGACCCTTCATCTATGGTGGATAATTATTACACCCCTTTAACAATGTAGTGTAAGGAAGATGACTATCGATATACACGTGCACAGTCTGAAACAGGCCTTAGTACTTTTCCCGAATGCTCATCCTAGCAAGACTACAATGCTACACTGGGTAACGAGGGGATGGAAATGATTGCAGTTACTTCGACACCGATGCTAGTGGACCCTGTCCAAGCACTTGTAGTGCATCATATTGCCAATAATACATATGAAGGAATGTATGCTTCTAACTGAAATGAGTACTATGAATAAGAAGAATTGCCAGAAGATTTATTGAGTGATGAATTTGATGATGATGATGACGATGCCGAAGGTAATTGTGTTGAGGATGATAGTGAGGTTCCTATGCATGAGCCGGAGTTAATATTTTTCTCAAACATTGAACCGGGAACCATGAATGAAGTTGTTAGCTTGTGCAATTTGCATGGATTTAAAACATGGGATCCTATAAGACTAGAACTAGCGAAGGGTATGGTGTTCAGGAGTAAAAAAAAGTTGGAGACGACAGTTAAATTGTATTCAATTAAGATGTACCAACAATATGTTGTTGTTGATACAAATAAATTGTGTTGGGTTTTGAGCTATAAGATGCATTTACAATGTGGATGCAAATGGAGGCTAAGAGTGGTTTTGAAGATGAAGCACGAAATATTTGAAATCACAAAATATTAGGCACCTCACACTTGTTTCTACCCAATGTCAGCTTGATGCATCTTTTATTTCTCAATGGATTGAGGGTTTGGTTCGGGGTACACCTGATGTAACAATTCCTGTCATCATTGAAATGGTGAAAAAGAGTACCAATATTTGATAACGTACAAGAAGGCGTGGAATGCGAAGAATAAGGTTATAGATAAGGTTTTTGGTGACCGGGATTGTTTTTTATAATGTATTGCTGAAGTTTATGGGTGCTCTTGTAAAATACAACTCTGGGACGATTGTAAGGTGACAATATGAGGCTCGTGCTCTGAGATTCGACATATTTGGAAAGGTGTTATAGGTATTCAAAGCTTCTATTGATGGGTTTATTGATTGTTGACATATAATTAGCATCGATGGCACATTTGTAAATGACAATTATAAGCATAAGTTTCTTATTGCTACTGGGATTGACACTCAAAAGAAAATTTTTCCTTTGGAAATTGCCTTTGTTCATGAGGAGACCCATGAAAGCTGGGGTTGGTTTTTATATCATCTACGCCACTCTGTTGTGCCGAATAGAGCTGGTATATGCTTAATCTCATATCGAAATAAAAGTATAATCTCAGCGGTTAAGCAACCTGATTCTGGGTGGAATGAGTCATATGCCTATCATCGTTTCCGTCTTGGATATATACAAATCAATTTTAACACACATTTCAAGAACACATTTTTAAAAGATCAAGTGTGGAAGGTTGGGACAACACATCAGATTCGCAAGTTTAATTTGATAATGGAGGAAATTAAAAATGTAGATCCATTGGCGTGGAAGTGGTTAGATGATATTCCAGCACAACAATGGACACTTGCCCATAATGGTGGTCAGCGATATGGAACAACCACAACCAATATTTCTGAGGTGTTCAATGGTGCATCGAAAGGTGCAAGGATGTTTTCCATGACTGCATGTGTGAAATTCATATTTTATCGGCTCGCAAAATACTTTTGTGAGCGTCATAAGCATGCACAACACTGGATAGACAATTGTATGGAGTACTCCCTTGAAGCAATCGAATTTATGCGACCTAACCAAGTCAAAGTAGGAATGTGTAATGTTACCTCTGCCAATTGGTGAGGCCACCATCACACTTCATGATACAGTTGTATTACTTGGCCTTCCAAGTGATGGGATGCTTGTATGTAGTGTAGACACCATCCGTGATGTACAACAATGGAGTATCATGTGCTTTGAGTTGCTCGGGTTCACACCAACAGATGGAGTGATAGATAAGTCCACTCTACGACTTAGTGCACTGGCCGAGCATTTGGCCCACGGGATTCCAGCTGATGCGCCCGAGCATTTTATAGCATGTTACACCCGATCGTTCATCCTTTTGTTGATTGGGTGATTTTTGTTCGGCAACAAGTCATCAAGTAGGATGAAGCTTATGTTCTTACCATTGCTCGGAGACTTACATGCGGCCGACACTTAGTTAGGGCAGTGCGGCCCTTTCATGGTTATATCGGGAGATGTGTCTCGCTACTAAGTGGGGAGCAAAGGATATTAGCGGTCCACTTATTCTGCTTTAGGTAATTGCTTGCATTCTTCACTTAGTTGCTAACTTTTATGTTCTTGTAACTATGCATATGTAAAATCACTGTATTGTGTATGTAGTTGTAGGCATGAGAGCGTCTGATACATATTGTTCTACAGCATGTGTTACCATGACAGTAGGTCGCCCATGGTGTAGCGACGCCTGATAGGATTAGTGTAGCGTTAGATAGAGTCAATGTAGATGTGGGCCCTGCACATGGATCCGATTGATGCATAGGGTGTACATGATGGTCCACTTGGATGTAGATTTGTAATAAATATACAATGCATGTAATTAAATATTTTATGTATTATTATGTATTTAAAAATTCGTTGAAATTTACAGAT